GTCTTCCGAGGAAAGTTTTTTGTGAAGAATTCGATACAGGTAGTGTACAATCCGGTGGAAGTTGTCCCTTTCTCTTGGAGTTTTTGGTGGTATTGAGAGCATATGACAGACAATAAGTCATTAATTTGTCTCGCCATTCAGCACAATAACTACTTTTGACAGAGCGGTCATCTGTCAAAGCGCCTGGGTCCAGTCTGGACATCACGTGCTCGTTTGTCTCAAGGCCAGTCTGCCGAACATTATCAAACGTTCCAAGGAATTCACTGTTATGATATCGTTGAAAGTAGTGAAAAGTTTACCCTTGTTAGGGATTGTGTGGGGATTATTGTGTGCCCTTGTGAGGTCCTATCCCTCCGGGGCCCCTTATAACACATGTGCAGATCCAGCCCCTTTTCATTCCCGGAGACTTAATTCCAGCCATGTCGGATTTTATTTTCCACAACATATGCTATCAAGTCCTTATACACTGGAAACATCCACAAGGAGATACTTCAACCGGATGAGGATAAGAGGTAATATATCCTTAGACACAATAATTCATTTTCATATTGTAGTATATTTCATAACAAAGTTAAGAAGTAAAAACAAGAATGTGAGATTTACGGAAACGGATAGTCTCTATCTGCGGAAAGAAATTTCGTCCCCTTTGCTAGAGTAATGATAGGTTTTAGGAATAGTTCAGGGCATAGAAAATATCAGTAAATGTTTAAAACTTAAATGAATGACTTTTAGAGATGATCTACCTTTCCAGAGAATCTACGCTTTCCGGGATAAATTGATTAAACAAACGAAAGTTACTCAAGTGGAATACTACGGAAGAATAACGCATGCACAAGATTACATCACTTTAGATAGCTGGCAAAACTCAAAATTCTGAGACAAAATTCTTTGACTCTTCGCAAAGCGAAAAATTCCAAAGATCAACTGCTTTATGGTTGACGAAAAGAAAAATGAGAGAAGTTACCATTGTAGAGAAGGTATGGTCATCAGTTTTGAGTTAGACATAGAAATCTCCATTTGCTCCCGAATTAATTATTTCTCTGGAAAAAACACACCTATCAGTAGAAACAACCACCTGTCGGTAGAAACAACCACCTGTCTGTAGAAATATATACCTGTCTGTAGAAATAAACACCAATCTGTAGAAATAAACACCTGTTGGTAGAAATGAACACCTGTTTGTAGAAATATATACCTGTCTGTAGAAATAAACACCAATCTGTAGAAATAAACACCAATCTGTAGAAATAAACACCTGTTGGTAGAAATGAACACCTGTTTGTAGAAATGAATACCTGTTTGTAGAAATGAATACCTGTTGGTAGAAATGAACACCTGTTTGTAAAAATGAACACCTGTTTGTAGAAATGAACACCTGTCTGTAGAAATAAACACCTGTCTGAAGAAATGAACACCTGTTTGTAGAAATGAACACCTGTCTGTAGAAATATATACCTGTCTGTAGAAATGAACACCTGTTGGTAGAAATGAACACCTGTCTGTAGAAATGAACACCTGTCTGTAGAAATGAGCACCTATCTGTAGATATGAACACCTGTCTGTAGAAACGAACACTTGTTGGTAGAAATGAACACCTGTCTGTAGAAATAAACACCTGTCTGTAGAAACGAACACCTGTCTGTAGAAATGAACACTCGTCTGTAACAATATATACCTGCCCGTAGAAATATACACCTGCCGGGAAACACTTGTCTGTAAAAATATATACATCTCGATAGAAAAGAACACCCATTTTAAAAAGAAAGTTGTAGATGTACATTAAATCCAGCTCAAACGAAGTGAAAATAATACGCAAATACTGTAAACATTGCAAAGGGTATTGCGCCAAAATAAATACGTTCACAGTAGCACTCTACAACAGTTTTAATGACTCTATAGGTTGTGTTCAAAACGAAAAGACATTCATGATAACCATATTATGAGGAGGGGCTCTGCAATTCAATGAATACTTCCACGAAATCCGTTTAAAACAACACCTGTCCAATCTGACACTATATGATATTGTGGTATCATTCAGAATGGATAGACTTTCGGAATAAGCTTGCTTTATCGGTAGAATTAGTCAGACATAGGATTACATTAGATATTCTTGGTTTATACGTGACGTTGACTGGTATTGAAATAGTTCAGGGATCGGATAAGAGAGGTGATTTACACTGATTACAATCGCCCATACAGTGATATATTTTACGATATATATGTGTATACATTACACTGGACAGGTGATGTATGTCTAAGGATGTGCATGTGAACCACTGGTCAGTTTGGACAGTTTGATGGTCCAGGACATATTGTCCTGATTGGAAGTGGGCAATGATTGGACAATGAGACATGTACATGATCGATTGGTGTGTATAAGAGATATATATCTTCTTCCTTATAAACGATGATAAAAAAGACACTTTGGCAATAACCCACTCTACCGCTGAAGGAAAAATCTTTCTCTTCATTACACAGAAAAATCTTGATATAATGTCGCTTGTTAATGATATACAATAAAAGCATTGTTACATAGCATTGGTAACATGATCGGTTATGATTAGAGATGGAAACCTCGATGTGATGTCCCCTTTTATACCTGTTATATACAGAAAGAACCTCTATTTAAATCTTTGTTTATATCATGTCTAAAAACCTCGACATTACGTTCCACGTTTATAATACATAAATCTTCGATAAACTGTACCCTGTGTGACATATCCAGTGAAATATTCGATATACTGTACCCTGTGTGACATATACGGTGAAAACTTCGATATACTGTCCCCTGTGTGACATATACAGTGAAAACTTCGATATAATATCCCCTGTGTGACATAATACAGTGAAATCTTCGATATACTGTACCCTGTGTGACATATACGGTGAAAACTTCTATAAACTGTCCCCTGTGTGACATATACAGTGAAAACTTCTATATACTGTCCCCTGTGTGACATATACAGTGAAATCTTCGATATACTGTACCCTGTGTGACATATACAGTGAAAACTTCGATATAATGCCCCCGTTTGTAATATACACTGAAAACTTCGATAGAAGTACTCCGTCTGAATTTTACACTGAAAACTTGGACAAAATGCCACTGTTTGTAAAATACAGTGAAAACTTCGACATATGTCCTCTGTTTGTGATTTACAGTGATTTTTTTATATAATGTCCCTCGTTTGTAATAATGTGAGAGTCGTAATACTGTCTTTGATATTAAGTGATGTTGTCTCTATCATATTCATACAAGATGATGTTCGTAACAAGCAAACGTTTCTGTAACCATAGATAAATGATCACGGAGATAAACCATGTACGCAAAATATTGCGGCTTTGCTTTTCGAAATATTACTGTATTGTGGTATAAGGAATCCTGAGACCAAAGATCTAGAAAGGCAGGCATTATGAGGAAAATGTGTCTTTCTCAATGAAAAAGATTTGTTTTCCGAAAGAAACTTTCAATCTCAGTGTAAATAAAAGCTTATCGATGCAGGAAAGAATTTCAAATCATGCAGTTTCTTCATATATTCAAGTATTAGCCTAATCTGTTGTGAAATGACTGGTTTGCGTGTGTGGATGGCAATATGGGCATGTGATGTGCTCATTAAGCAAAATTTTTATCCTTCAGGGTTTTGTTTCGTTCGGGACAGACAAATATGAAAAAGGAAATTCGTGATAAGTAGATTCCAATAACATGATAAAATCATTTAATACTGACTTAATTTCTAGATACACGATATTAATCTATTTATTACGGTTTTGACAAAAATGAATTTCTATGTTCACATAACACGGTACATTATTTGAAGGACAGATTTTCTCTCCCGTGCATTTCAGTTGGTTTTGTCGATAACTTCTCGAAATCTTTTGATGGAAAGACAATATGTCTAGCTTGTATTGCTAACGTCCTATTAACAGCTCTGGTTATTTATGAGGACGACCTCCCGATGTATGTTGGGTGATTTGGTCTTGTTTTACATTGTTTTATGTCCTATCAACAGCTAGGAGCATTTAACACCGGCCTCTCGGTGTGGGCGAGGTGAATGTATGTTGCGAGTGCATCCGTATTTGTAAACCTTCTCATGATAGTGCGGAACTGAAGCCAACTTTATAGTGCTGCCACACTGAAGTAAACTGTTGAAAGCTTCTTTCAGGACACCCCGCCCGATCACGTTAAACAAGGATAGTACCTATCATTTAAAAAAACATATTTTATCGAAAATACTGGAAAGTAATTTGAATATGTATTGAAGATGCATAAGCTCACTTTCTCATAACCGCTTAGTATTAGGGGAAAATACCTTCGTGTGAAACAGTCATGTTAAGTCTTGTCAACTCTTGGACCCTTCAAGAAGGGACTTTACTTAGTAAGTCATTGTGTTTCATCAGAAAAGTTGGATTTTTAGGCTGTATTGAAAGTTCATTGCTTGGTTTGAATTACATCTTTCACGTAGACACAAGATATCACGTGGTCTTCGTCGGAAACAAATTCAATTACACATGGTGTGCAGCAAGGTTCAGTTTCAGGTCCTTTACTGTTTTTATCTTTTAGATATAATTCATCACTATCTTTTGATGCAAATACCACAATGTATACTGCGGATCCTTGTTTCGAAGAAAATCTGTAGAAAATATGCTTTACAGTCATATTTAGAGAATACAAACATATTGATTGTAAATGCTTTTGATTTTTGCTTAAACATTTTTCGTGTGTGTGATTCTATCATTCATTTGAAGCTTTGTGACACTGGATTTGAAGAGTCGGGAAAGACAAAACTGTAAAATGTGTAACTGGATTATTGCTTATCATGGAAAGGTCATGTTGACATTACAAAAAATATCTAAACAAAAATACATTGTATAACACTGATGTCATGTAAAAAACTGACTACTGTAAATATATTCAGCATATACATGCATATATGTACAATATTTACATAAACAACATTCTTTGTGTCCTCAGTACTTTAAGTAGTTTAATTACTTTTCAGTAACATTGAAGGCAGCACCAGGGGATTTCTTCAGAGGGTTTTTCATCCAAGCGACACGTGACAATTATCCATTAGATTCCCAGGACAGACCTGCATATGGAACCTTCAGGCCAGTCGACTCTAATTCACAGCCTCGTTTGTGTCGGGCAGCTGTCGGACAAGTCGGTGGAATCACACACACCGGAAATAGTAACAAAACTGAAGTGTCTGTTGATTTCATACTTCCGGTCGGATGCAATCTAGGAGACATTCAGTTTGTGTATGTATAATTTTCGGCTTATAACTCCCTTTCACCGCATTGGAAAACAAACTTTGGCATGATTGGTTTTTTTTTTTTCTTCTTCTTCTTTTCCTTCTTTGTTACATCATGTTCAAAAAAGTAAAAGGACGCCATTAAACTGTGGGGGTTTATACATAGGTTTATTAGTTTTTTGGTAAATCCCGTTGAAGAATTGCCAGAAGATAAATTGTATTTAGAAAATATTTTATCTTCTACATTGAAAACACTTTAAGCAATATTACTTAAACTCATCTTATACGTTAGAGTAAATCCAATATATTCACCATTATACCAGCCAATATATACTGATGTGATTTAGCAGCGACGGCCAAATTTAAATGAAAATAATTTGAAATAATTTTGTATAATATATTTAAAACTGCCCTGAGCCGCTAGACTAATTGAACAGGCCAAAGATGAAACTACGACAAAATAGAACACAAAACTACGTTGATTCATTTTTGTTTATTTGTAAATTTGTCATTTGGACAGTTCAAATGATCTGATCTCGTGAAACATTACAAATACACACTTCTATAAACAGAATGACAATCAAACTCGTGGATTAAAATCCGTGTTAAGAACTGTGCTGTGAGGCAATATGAAATATGATTTTTTTTCTATATTTTGTTTTACAGAGCTACAGTAGTAAAGACGTATAGTCAGTATTGGGTGGATGTGAGGTCCGACCCTGTCTCACCTGTTGGATTCCAAGGTATTTATCAGATATACGAAAATTGATTAAATTGGGTCTTGCGTACCTCCCCATTTAAATTTGAAATTCTTTCAATCATTTTGGATGTTTCCGAATCGCCTCCTAGACTTGATAACTTCATCGCTGACGAGTCTTAGAAGGACGAAACAGCTGTATAATGCATTTTAATTCTTTGTTTTGCTCTACAATATCGAGCTCGAAAGTTTGTATCAAAAGATGCTTTTGTACAATCCAAGAATCAAAACTCTAATCAGAGTTATCATTCCTAACTGTAAAAGGCCAAGGACATTGGTTACTGAACAAAATGACGATGATATAAAACGTCATTTTGAGGTCAGATACTATTCCATTGTAGACATTGCTTCGTTAGTGATAATATTAGGTTGTCCGGAATTTCCGGAACGCAGAATTCGCAATAAGTTGATATACACATCGATCTGAAGATTTATATACTAATAAACCATCTTTTTATTATCCAGGACAAAGAAGTTTGTTGTGCCGATTGTATTACGATCCATTTAACCAGCGACTACAACAGCAAGTACTGCAGGTGCTTAGACGTCTACAGATGGCCAATGTCAGGCAACCAGGGGCTGCCAATCGTCCGGGAGCACCTATGGTCCCACAAGGTCTTCAACAGGGTTGAGCCAAAACAAGCACGTGCTTGCTGGACTTACATGGGTTGGGGTTGTGTAGAAATAAATATACGCACTGACAGAACACGTGGGTAATAGGTAGGACGATACGACAGGGTTAGAAAGTCAGAACATTGAAAAAACACGTGTAGGTTTTCGTTACGATGTTTTTCTTGACATAAATGGGAAAACAACGTGTTGTTGTTACTGACAAACAATGAATATTCATGACTTAGCTTTCGTTTGTTAGACCTCTTGTCTTTTTACTACCTGTTTTTGATTTTCTGGAACAGAATGATAATCTTATGTATATTATATATACACATATAAAACAAGATTGAGTTGTGATGAAAAAAAAAGTTCCAAGCAATCTCGGACAATATCCCAAAATAATAAATCTTTATAGAATTGCATGAGATGCGGAGTGGATATTCCCTGTCTGTCCTATAAAAATCGAAGATAATGTCCAGAATACATTTACACATCATCAACAATGGCACATGTAAGTATTAGATATCGACGGAACAGATATACTACTTAGCAGACTTTTTGCGTTCGAGGAAATTAATTATGTCATTGTAATAAGATTAAAAAGAATTGATAGATAAATCTGATGTTGTTTGTTTTCATTTTCAATTTTTATTGCATTCTCGTGGAGCAATTTAATACGATTCTGCCTTCTGGCTATTTTCAGAAATTTATTTTATTTCGGGTTTCGTGCTTGACGTTCATTAGTGAACCTGTTGGTTCCTGAACATGACATTATTTATTCACATTGACCAATATGTCGTCGATAAAGCAGAAGACGCTTACTCTTCCGGAGCAACTGGTCTTATTTTCCTTGCTTTTTCAAACCTCTGCATGCAGATCTGTCTTTTGTTCGTATTTTGCCCAAGTTTTATTGAATTTGAATTCAGATTAGGTTTCTGTTTACATTTAAGTATTATCTTTATTGTATTTGTACGTCTCTAACGTTAGACTTTAGAAATAGCATAACAGCAAATTGGAATTTACGATATAATGTGAAACATCATGATAATACCGAAATGTAAAGGTCATTGTTACTCAAACGCAAAGTCAAAGGTCAAAGTTTGAACAACCGAAATTAATCTTGTGGGGAGAATACATTGGGAATTAGACCAGAAGGGAAAATGTCTTTTGTTTCATCAACGACACCTTTGGAGAAATGTTCAGCTCTTAAATGAAAGCATGGTCTATAACAATGGGTATACTTGCAGGCAACGGAACGCCTACGAGGGGTTACCAAAATGTTTGGAGCCGGAAACTTTTTTCCTTGTTGGGATATGAAATGACCATCACTTAATATATAATCTTGTTTTAAAAAGGTTTAAAACATACCCCAGTGAGCGAACAAAATTGTGTATGATCAATGTTTTTAGACCTGGAGAGTCAATCTGCCAAACAGGTTATAGTACTTTGTTTATCGGAAGTCTTCCCCTGAGTCTGCAACTATCAAACACTTGGTGATGGAATCCGAGCGTGGCACAGAAATATAGTTTATATGATGACTACAAGTCAGGACGGCCATCATCCTGTACTAGTCCAGAAAACGTTGATGCTGTGCACTAACTAGTGATTGAAAACGGCCGCACTTCTCTTAATGAGTTAGTATGAGACTTTCATATGTATCCCTACACAGCATTCTTCATCACGATCAAAAGCTTATCCAAAGTACGTGTAAGATGGAATGATTTCGGCTGATATGATGTCATTTTGGAGATCACTATCGGTTTAGATTTGCTAATTCGTATATTGGCAATGATGTAAGGGATGTAGCTTGTGATGATACGGGACTTTATCGTTGTGATCTGCCGAGTGAACAGGAATCGATGGAATGGTGACACGCCGCATCGTCAAAGAAAAAGACATTCACAGTCATCAGGTCCATCAAGAAGGTTAAAGTGATCGTATTTTAGGAATTTTAATGAATCATACACACCGACATCATTTTGTTTAATAGGGGGAAGTACGCTAACCAGATGAAACAATAAGGCGAAGGAACATAAATGGAAGGTGTGCGTAGGTGAGGCGATTCTCGCCCACACCACTCTCCAGACCTAGTCCCAAATGACATCCACCTTTCCCCAAGTTGAAAGCCACCATCGGGGCCGGAAATTTAAGGATGACGATAAGCTGGATGCTGCTGTGTACCAAAATGTTAAGTTGTACCGATCACGTGTAAATGACTTGAAAAACTAGATGGTCATTGGAAGGGGATATATGAAATGTGAAAACAGTGTAAATCCAAATATCTTGCTCTTACTTTTTATTCTTTCAGTATTAAAAATGGCAACAAATTTGATCACAGACACGTTGATATCAAAACATGCACGACCAATTCCTTTGGTATACACTTGTCTGAAAGCCTTTGTCAAATGTTCATTGCACTTTTTTTCCATTCGCCGTTTTCTGTTCCTGAGGCTTGTGCTTACAAGCAAGCAATTTGTAAGTCATGTCGAACATTTCGACTTGAATACGAAAAACAAGCTAAACAAAACTGGACAACATTTTGAGTAGGAGGATCGAGAGTATATCACAGTACATCTATATATCTATTATCTAAATTGCAACAAATATTACGAAGGATATTTTTCTTTGTTATTATTTACTAAGTGACACACCATAAGAGAAGTGTATTGTAACATAAAACTTGAACTTGGCTTAAAGAGGTTAGTGTTGCTTCAAAATGGAAATGACACATTGTCCTATGTTATAATTTTATCTTTAAGAAACAATTACATCGACGATACAGAAAATATTCAAATTAAAATTTCGGTTGTAATGTTATTCTTTAAGACAAGACAAGATTTTTTTTTATTTATCTCAGACACAGAAAGTGTGTATCGACAGCATATAAGAAAGCAAACATTTTTACATGCATGTCAATATCATCACGACATAAATCATCAGTTTTGAGCAAGCAGTCAACATACTTTTTCAGTAAATAAAGTTTAAAGATCATTAAGATACAAGGCCAAAAAAGGTTTTGTTTCAGCTTGATATTAGATGTGAACATTTATGATAGTTCATTTCCATTTTTACACGTGATTTTGTATCGGTATACATACCATATAAAGCTATTTTACCGGTTAAATTGCTCTTAAAGATCAATAAACCTACACGCCACACCAGGTCAAATGCTTTTCTGAAGTCAATGAAGGCACAGTGTAGTTTTTTACCCAAAGACAAATGTATTATCTTTCCTGAAACCCTTCTATGCTCTAAGCTTTACTAATAGCATTGATTTCATCGGATAGTTGATATAATCTGGTATTCAAAATCGATCGAAATACTTTATCAGTGCATGAAACAAGCGTTATTGCTCTGTCTATAGGACCACCTTTACTTTTGTGTATGGGTTTAGTTATCCCAATTCTCAAACTTTCCAGTATTAAAACAGTATCTAGTGTAATATCAAAAGGTTTAACGTATGAAGAGGATGGTCGGCATGGCGCAGTGGTAACGCACTCGCCTCCGGTGTCCGACTCCTGGAACGGACGTGAAAAGGTAAGTGTCACCTGCCCGGCCACGTAGGTTTTCCCCGGGTACGTAGGTTTCCTCCCACAATAATATAAGTTAAGTTCTTTATTACTTTAAACCAATTGGTTCATCAGTATATGAACCAATTATATACAAACAAACATACACACACATACACACACCACCACACACACAAACACACCATCACACACCCTCCCTTACACACAAACCTTCATTTACCCATAACACACAGATACCACTCTCTGTTTCATAATAATTAAACAATAAGACCCCTAACGCGCTTGTACCCGGGTCAACAAGAGTGATTAGTATAAGTTGAAATAACTTGTTGTAAAATAAATAAAGTTTATATATATTTATATTATAACGCATGAAGGTAGTATAATATCCTCTGTGCTTTTTACATACTCATTATATACATAGTCTATACCGTGTGCTTTATTATCTAGTTTTTAATTTGAGTTTACAACTTTTTCGGGAGTGATTGGACCATTCAGTATTTTATCATAGATACAGTTCATCGATTGAGAAGTCAGTATTGTATTGATTATTTGATTTATCGATTCTGTTCATGATATTCCAAAACAATTGTGATTCATACGTAGAAATTTGTCTCGTTTCTTTCGCAGTTTCTTAATGAAACTCTTTTACAATTGGCGTTGATCAATGACATGACTTGCAGTGCAAAAATACAAATAAAAAAAAAATTGTCATGTTGGATTTTGTGTATTATCCACGTGACACCAGTAACCTCAAACGAAAAAATCTCATAAAATTTACATATTTAGAGACGTCCCCCACATAGCACACGTCAACAGCATTCATACAAGATTAATTATCGCCCTCCCCAAGGGTGCGCCACGACAAACTAATTATCATGTATACATTTACACTGTAAAGCGTTGAAATTCATAATCGGCAACCACTTTTCAAAATATTGTTCAGATATTATTTCATTTAATACATATTGGAAAACCTGTATTGTTTATCATTAAATCTGCATAATACTATATATATATATTTACTTGCAATTTATTTACAAATTATATTACCCCTCCGTTCTTCTGACAGCTTCGAAAGTCTTTTCAAGATTAGATGTGGCGGTATAACGGAAATAAGGATCCCGCTGACAAGCATTGAGAAGTCTGGGTTATGTTTTTTGTACTTTTGTAAGACGTATCCCCAAAGTTTTTCAGCATTGTTGGTTGGCAATGGTAAAAATCATAAGTTAATCAATTGCTGAAAAGAACAAGCCAAATCTACTCAGAAATATAGGTCACAGTGATCTACAAATATCGCAGAAGGCAATGACAGTCCAATATGAATGGACATTTTATATGCTGACGATACAGCCCTGTTATCGGAGACAGCTGAAGGGTTACAAACAATAATGAATGAATTTCAAGAATATTGTCAGAAATGGAACTTGTAGCTATAAAAAATACCAAAATTGTTATATTTTCTAAAAGAAAGACGACGATAATAAACA